GGCACTTGAAAAGGTACAGGACCTCGGGCCGCCCCGGCTTCAGAGGGGCTTTGAGGAGTGGAATGCCGAACAAGGGCTCCTGCTGTTCCGCGGGTGCGTGTATGTCCCAAAGAATGCGGAGCTCCGGTGGAATATCGTTAAAATCCACCACGACTTGCCGATCGCCGGTCATGGCGGTCGTGCCAAAACCCTGGAGCTCGTATCGCGGAACTACTGGTGGCCTGGGATGTCTAAATTCGTCAATGAGTACGTGAGCACCTGCGACATGTGCAACAGTACCAAGACATTCCCAGCCAAACCCCAGGGTCCGCTGAAGCCGAATGAGATCCCCGAGCGCCCATGGCAGATCATCACGACTGATATGATCGTTGGCTTGCCGAAGTCTGATGGATTTGACTCGATCCTGGTCACCGCCGACCGCTTCACAAAGCAGGTCCACTTCTCGGCCTGTCATGAGACCCTGACGGCAGAAGGTGCGGCAGACCTGTACATCCGCGATGTGTTCAAGCATCATAGGGCCCCAGCCAAGGTCATATCAGACCGAGGACCCCAATTCGCTTCGAAGTATCTCCATGCGGTGTACAAGGGACTGGGAATCAAGCCGGCGCTGTCCACAGCATTCCACCCTCAGACAGACGGCCAGACAGAATGCTGGAATCAGGAGATCGAACAGTACCTGCGCGCCTTCACAAGCCACAGGCAGGATGATTGGGCGAAGCAATTGCCGCTCGCGGAATTTGCATTGAACAACCGAGTTCACTCCGCGACCGGGCACTCCCCTTTCTTCCTGCATCAAGGGTACAATCCTGAGATCCAAGTGCGGATCAATCCGATGTCTGTGATGCCTGCGGCCGCTGATTGGCTCAAGATCCTGAAGGAGATTCGCGACAATACGCGCTCTGCGCTCGAGCTGTCGGCCGAGCGCATGAAGGTGTACTACGACAAGCATGTGCGGAAGGCACCGGTCTTCGCGCCGGGGGACAAGGTCTGGCTTGATGCCTGGAACCTTAAGCTGAAACAGCTGAGCAAGAAGCTCAGTCCCAAGCGCCTTGGGCCTTATGCCGTGCGACGAAAGCTCGGAGACTTGGACTATGAATTAGTCCTGCCGAAATCGGTGCTGGTGCACCCGGTATTCCATGTCTCCTTGCTTAGCAAGTACACGTGTAGCGATATCCCGGGCCGGGAGCCGGAGGAACCGCCTGCGATCGAGGTTGAGGGCGACGAGGAGTACGAGGTTGAGCGGATCAAGGATTCAAGGATCTTCCAGCATCAACTACAGTACCTCGTCAAGTGGAAGGGTTATGACGACTCGCATACGTCATGGGAACCGGCGCGCAATGTTGCCAATGCGCCGGCCCTCATAGCCGACTTCCACCGGAAAAATCCGAATGCCCCTCGCCGCCTCAATGCTGCTACCTTTGGTGGTCCCAACTTCCAGCCGATGCCTTCGCTGCTGACTGAAGCACAATGCTGCTCCGGGTGGGAGATGGGCAAGGGCTCCTCGCATGAGGTCATGCGCCGTTGAGGGGGGGTAATGTCACGACTTGGCACGGCGCCTAGCCGTTTTTTTAATTTTTTCCTTTTCGCGGGCTCGAACCTGCGACCTCTGTACTACATACCTGATATGGACGCGTCATTATCTACTGTACGATCAGATTAGATAGGACGGCAGTGCACGGCACAGCTCGGGCTCCACTGACATAGCCGCTCTGACTCACCGGCCCCCGGGGCCGCGTCGGCATGCTGCGCACAGACCAGCTCCGCACGGACCAATGCGCACAGCCTGCCCTAATCTCCCCATGTATATAAGCCGGCCTCTGCTGCCCTAGGGACCTCAGTTTCGACCTCTTGTCCCTAGGTCAGTAAGCCCTCATTTGTATTCCTTTCTTACTTAACTAACTAATATACTATCTTGTCCCTAGCCTTAGGTTTGAGCCTTGCTCACCATCGCTTCGGTAAGAACCAGTCGAACGCCCCCAGCATCCTTCAAAGTCTGTGTTCCCCCTGTCGCTCGACCCTAAGTCGCGACATTCACGTTGGCGAGTTGCGCTTGCTCCGATCGAGGCACTAGCTCGTAGCTATCCTCCTCCCTATTGAAATCTGAGCCGTCCTCGGCTCTGTCATTGGTGAAGATGGCAAGCAAAGGTACAGGCGGGAGGGGCTGAATCTGGTGAACGAAAGAATGCATCTGGTCGATCCAATCGTCGAACTCTTTGTCGACCTCGTCTTCGATGACATCACTGGGTTGAGATGTGCGTCGAGAGAGACCGTCGGGGCCGTGCATTGTACCGGGGACATGGACTAGTGTGAAATGGAATGTGAGAATCGAGGCAATCCACCGGTTGATACTCGCGCTTGGGGCTATGTCTGGATTCTTCAGCATACCCTTGATGTACCGAGCATCGACTTCGACGATGAGGTTCCGAACGCCAATCAGGTATAGTCGAAGGGATCGTAGCGTGCGGAATAGACCGTAGATCTCGAGCTTCGGCTGTGAAAACCTTCGTTTGCGATCGTTGAGCGTGATTGAGCCGAACCTGCTATAGTAACGGACTCGCGTGTTGGCCTCGTCACACTGGCAGAGGTGATATCCAACGGCGATGAACGACGTGTTGACGGCAAGAATGACGGGGGAGGGGGAATCATAATTAAAGGCTCGGAGTGCGGGGGATGAGAGTAGTGCGTCCTTGAGGTCTTCCTGCGCTGCGATTTGCTCCGGACCGAACTCGAACTTGACGTCCTTCCTCGTGAGGCGTACGAGCGCGTCGGCACGGTGAGCAAAATTACGGATGAAGATTCGAACGACGCTGATGGTCCCGAGGAACGCTCGAACGTCAGATAGAGTAGCGCATGGACCCCAGTTGCGTATCGCTGCAACACGAGAGTCATCGGGGAGGCGTCCTCGAGGAGTGCAGCGATGTCCTACCACCAGGATTTCTCGAGCAATGAGGACGCTCTTGACTCCTGAGAAGGTACCTCCGGCGTAGCGCATTCGAGTGACTACGCGGTTCATGTTCTCGAAATGCTCCCATACGAAGTGTCGAATGCCGCGGTTCGAAGGGAGCCGCTCGTCGTTGTAGTCGGATTCGGGACCCTTGACGGGAACGTCGTCGACATAGGGCACCGTAACGTGCGGGATCTCGGGCTGGAGGATGTAGGTGA